TATCGAGGTCCGCCAAGTATCGAGGTCCTAAACCGTTTAGGGCTGTGTACGTGAGCATCATCACTTGGTTCCCTTTCCAAATGAGGTGGGTCCCAAAGGTGGTGGCATAGAGGGAACGCTCTCTGAGCCCACCCTTCAGAAGGATCTGCCTGCCATCTCCACATGCCTGACAGCCCCCGGAGTGCCGTCCGGCGACAGTAACCCTAAGAGCTGGTGGTGCCGGTTAGAGCCGCTCTAATGCTCCCTGCCGGCCCATTTGCAGGAACCCTTTCCAAACACGTCTTGATATCGAGGCAGAGTGGAAGAAAGCCACAGCAGACCTGGAGGGGCAGGAAGGTTGGCTCCTGGTTGTTGCATCTCCTCTTGGGGCCACATAGACGCCGGCCGCCAGAAATCACCCAAGGGGAGCAGAAGAAGGCGCTCTGCCTTTTTGCCAGCCTGGTCGGTGGCAGAGGCTGCTTTTAGGATGGCCGAGCGGAAGGGCATGGCTTTGAGGAAGCCACGTCCTGAAGCTACCTGGGCGGGTTGCTTTCTGCTGGAGTCACGGTGCCAGGTGCCTGTGGCCTTGGCTCCCTGGCAAGAGCCCAGAAGCCTTGGTGGCCAGCCTTTTAGCCTCATCACTGTCCCTCCCCCCCCCCAATGCCCCCTGCGTCTTGGTGGAAGGACAGGCGCAGCCAGCGGAGAAGGGGAGGGAGGGAAAGCTCTCTCAGCAAACCTTGCTTGTGCCTCCTTCTTGGGAAAACTGCATGGGACCAGCCCCCCCCCCCCCGTAGGGGGTCTCCTCTGGGCTAGCCAGCCAGCCAGCCAGCCAGCAAGACTAAGATTTCATTGATTGGCTTGATTTGATTTATACACCGCCCCGTGAGTGCGCATTGCACTCTGGGTGGCTGCCAAATTAAACCTTCAAGAGCCCACATAAAAGCGCCCGGGTGACAGTCACCCCAGATCCCCACATGATCTCTCCTAGTGGCTTTGTGAAGATGTTTAAAAAAGCACCGGGGAGAGGATGGTGCCCCTTAGCAAGGGGTCCCAAGGGGTGGAGACGGCATCCCCTAGCTGCGCCATTCATCTGGGACCAGAACCAGCCGAGCTCCTGGTCCCTAAATAGCTGCCCCAGAAAGGGTGTTTTGTTCCTTTGGCTGCTCCAAATCCGCGGCGTAACCTTTTCCCCTTCTGTCTGTCTTTCTGCCTCCCTCCCTCCTTGGCCCGCCGTGCCCGTAGGGGACTCCGCTGATTTTCAGTGCTGCCAAAGAGCTGGGACACTTGTCGAAGCTGAAGGTATTCCGTCAGTGTGGAGAGCAGCCCTGCGGGCGCATGCCGTCCCCCTGCCTTGGGAGGCTGCTAGGGCGCACATGTGCCTGCAGAGTGCACAACGCCCGGTGTTTGTGTTGTGTGTGTCGTGTGTAGCTGTAGCTCTAGCGGTGGCAAACCCATGCGTGTGTTCCCTCCCGGAGGCCAGCTGGCTCTGCTTGGGCCCCGCTCGATCTCGCCGTGGCTTCCTGCCTGGGGTGCTTTCCTCCAACCGTTTCCCCTCTAGGCGTCCCCAGAAACAGCCCCTTTGTGCCTGAACACGAAGGGGCTGCTGGGGGGGGGGACTCTGGCTGTGTGGGGTGGGAGCACAGAATAGAACCTCTATGGTGCTCTCTCTCTCGGTATTGGATTTGGGGAGGCTGGTTGCAGGAGGCAGGTGCTCTTTCTCCTGACAGGGGAAAAGGGTGCGCTTGGTCCTGCGCTCGGTCCCAGGTGAGGGCCCTGGATGGCACAGGGGCACTTGAGTGCTGGCCTTTCATTTGGGGGCGAGAAGGGAAGGGCCTGATCCCCTGCGGGCCAGCCCTGCTGAGGAAGACGGGCACGCCTGCTTTGGAGGGAGAGCCCCTTGGTTTCCGTGGAGGCCCCCACCACCACCACCAGCCCGCCCAGGGGGAAGCTCTTCGGCAGAGCTTGGCGAGGGGGCTGCCTGCCCTTGTTTTGGGAAGGCCGCCGACACGACTGGGCCGGGCAGCGTTTCTGAGAGAGAAGCGACCGTGCCGTTGGTGGGGAAGCAGAGCCGGTTTTGGTTTCACAGAACAGCTTGCCGGCTCTTCTGGCCCGCTGGAGGGCTTGGCTGTGGGGGCGAGAGAGGCTGCAGGGAAGGATGGGCGAGGGATGGTCCCAGGAGGAAGGCCCGGGGGTGGCGCAAGGAGTCCCTGCCTGTGCTTTCAGGAGAGGGTGCCTTGGCTCCCCCCAGCTGCAGAGCAAACCTTTTGGGGGGGGGGTCAAGAGGGTGCTGGGCTGGCCCTTCCCTGGCTCAGGCGTTGCACCTGCCTGGAGGCGGGAGAATCAGGGCTCAAGAGGAGAGAGAGAGAGAGCGCGTGAGTGAGGCTCTTGGGGCTTCCCTTCCATGCAGCGCAGAGGGGCAGGCTCCTCCCCCACAGCCACCACCATGGGTCTGGGCAAGAGGCAGACCGGAGGCACCTCACAGCGACCGGGGGGGGTGTACGAAGGGTTTGGTCCTCGTGCGTCCCTTTGGAAGCAGAGCTCATCCTGCGGCAGAGAGGCACCCTCG